CCAATTCCCTGGAGAACTTTTACCCCCTCCTCCGCCACCTTCCATCACTTCCCGAGCTAACATCAGACACTGGATCAACCCTAAGAAGGAGTCTATCCACAGTATCCAGGGATCCATAGTGTCCCCTCACACTGCAGCCACCAATGGAGGCTACTCCCGAAAGAATGATGGTGGCTTCTCTACCTAATGTTGACAGGTCCCTGGACTAAATTAATCATAATGGAACATCCTGCTGCCCACCTCCATTAAATAGAATTGTGCTGGATGAAAAAAAAAAAAAAAGAATTCTTTCCTTGGGGGCGCCTGGGTGGCTCAGTTAAGTGTCTGCCTTCGGCTCAGGTCATGATCCTGGAGTTCCAGGATCGAGCCCCACGGCTGGCTCCCTGCTCCCTGCCCTGGGGAGTCTGCTTCTCCCTTGCCCCCTGCTCCTACTCTCTCCGTCTCTCTCACTCTCTCAAATAAAGAAAGAAAGAAAGAAAGAAAGAAAGAAAGAAAGAAAGAAAGAAAGAAAGAAAGAAAGAAAGAAAGAAAGAAAGAAAGAAAGAATTCTTTCCTTGGTTCTGATTCTAAAGGAAATGCATTTAGCATTTTGCCTTTGAGTATGGTTTTTGGTGTAGGTATTGGAAGACACTTTTTGTCAAGTTAAAGAAGTTCCCGTTCTATTCCTGGTTTGCTAGAAGATTCCCTTAAAAAAAAAGAAACAAGAATGGTGATGATCATAAGGTTTTCAATCTTTCTTTTGTTAATGTGGTACAGATTACTTTAGAAGGCATTTAATAAATTCAAAATCATGACTTAGGTTAACAGAGCACAATGTTGAAAATGAGAGCTTTATTAAATCAAGGCTGAGGTAAAAACAATGAAGAGTCTGAAATTACTGTAGGATCTTTTATTAACGGAATCATTTTTAGTCAATAAAGGGATTTGAGGTTAATTCAATTTTAAAGAGCTCTAAATCAAAAGGTTTTTTCCTGCCTGGGAGCAGGTTCACAATTACCAGTTTGCTAAGCCATTGGTAAAAATGTCTGCTTCTATAATATAAGCTGTTTTTGAAAAACTGCGTCCACGAAGCAGAGTGACTGGAAAGTGTAACGCATTGCAGTTAGGAGAGGATTTCGTCCACACCGCCAAGAACAGCACTGCCTCCTGACTCTTCAGAGGCCAGCAGTAAGAAGTCCTGGGAGAGGGGCACCTGGGGGGCTCAGTCGGTTGAGCAGCTGCCTTTGGCTCAGGTCGTGGTCCCGGGGTCCCGGGATGGAGTCCTGCATCGGGCTCCCTGTTCAGCGGGGAGTCTTCTTGTCCCTCTCCCTGTGTCTGCTTCTCTCTCTGCTTGTGCTCTCTCTGTCTCTAACAATGAATAAATAAAATTTAAAAAAAGAAGAAGAGAAGTCCTGGGAGAGTAAGAGAAAGGAACGGGGAGGAAACTGGCACAGCCCACGACACGCCTCTCTGATTGCCTGTAACTGCAGGGGTCAGGCTATGACAACTCTGGCTAGGTTTGGGTCTACCTTGTCAAATATACATCTCGTGGAAATGCAAACACACTCGTATTTCCTCATGCCCCAAAATGAATGGCTTTAGTCAAAGGAAATTGATCGTTGTCAAAAACCAAATACGTTTTTTGATGAGTAAGGATTGAATGGGAAAACAAAATGATTCTTGTTCGTCTGGTTCTGGATATTAGCCCAGAGTTTTGTACTTCCCTATAATACAGGAGAACATAATATCTCATACACGCTCCACTTTCGGATGCCACAGATATACTAAGTGGCCCAGAATTAGCACAAAATTAGCCTACCTAGAAAAATCTTCTTGAAAAACAAAACAAAACAATTCATCGAAAATATTTAAGAAGAGATCAGATGGTTACAAGTGTCACTGACACGGGAAATGAATTAATGATTTGATCATTTATCAATTAGTGAAAACAGTTTTTAGAAACATGTTTTTGCTCCATTTTTTATGATGAGTTTCCCCGGTAGAAATATTATAAAACAAGAACAACAGGGCACTGGAGACAGAATACGGGGGTTTCAGTCATGGTTGTGCCTTTTCCTAATTGTGTAACCCGGGCAAAAAGTTTCACTCCCATAAACCTCTCTTTTCTCATCTATAAAATGGTCACTACAGAGTTGTGAGAAAGATTACGTGGCTCGGGGCATGTTGAATGCCCAAGACAACAGATGCTCAGAACACAGTATTTCTAATTCTCTTCTAGTAAAGCCTCATTATCCACCCTCTGCAGGACAGCAGGGTGGTCGTCAGCAGGGGCTCTGAGACTACACCACCTGAGTTGACTCCTGGCTCCACCATCTCACCAGCTGTGTGACCAAGGGCACTTGACTTAAACTCTCCACGCCTCAGTTTTGTCATCTGTGAAATGGGCACCATAAAAGCACTTTCCTCATAGGGTGGTATTGAGAATTAAGTGGGTTTATTTATGTAAGATGCTTAGAGTGGTGCTTGGCACACAGGAAATAACTAAGTGTCAGCTAGGATTATATTAAGACACTCATTGTTTATTGCATTGCCATATCTCAGAATTATTATTATATTTGTAACTACAGCTGTGATCAATGATATGTGGATGGGTGTCATTTTCTGACTTGAATGCCAGGGGCGGTAGTGAAGAGGGTGGGGAAGCAGAGGCGGCCCCACATCCCCTTCATGGTCAGCTGTGAATGCTTTGGAAATAGCCAGCTTTTTTTTTTTTTTGCAGATTCTAGCTCTGGGCATAGGGAGAAAGGAGCATTACACTCCCCCATGGGTGCGATTTCACCCTCACTAAGCCATTGCTTTAATGAACACCAATATTTTTTCGTTCCATTGTAAATGGTGTTCATAGTGAAACCGTATTTTAACAACATTAAAAGAATTTTTTTAAATGAAAAATGAATGAACTCTAAACATGCCACCTGACACAAAAACTGTTTCATTGTTTCTCTTTCCCTCTAGTTGTTGTTTATGTGCATGTGCTGGATGAGTTTAGCCAGTTGCCATCACTGTGTGTGTACTCTGTTTACTGTGATCAATAATCCTTTCCCCTGACTTTATAATTATTATTATTATTGATGGCTGCACAGTCAGGTTGATAGGCCGTAATTGCTCCGTTTTTGAAAATCACAATGTCCACCTTTTACATGCTGTAGGAGAACTCGACATGTGAATGATAGTAAAGGACAGCAATGATAAAAGGAAAGGCAATCAAAGACCTAACCCTGCTGTGGCAGGGGAGAAGAGAAGGGAGGGAGTATTGGATGGCCTAAGAGCTGTGAAATCCTGTAATTTGATTTTGCAAAAAGACTTCCATACCCAGTGTTTTATTTAACAGACCTATTTTTACATGTAAGAGAATTAAAAAGAAGTTGCATGTGATGGGTACGTGGAGGTTCATTATACTGTTGTCTACTTCTGTGTCTGCTTGAAGCTTTCTGTAATTAAAAAGGTTGGGAAAAAAAGGATGTGCCTATAAACGATTTTCCTACACCCTTGGAAATAGTTTGACGTGTCTCTCGGTGAGCAAACACTAGCCCACGTGGCTCCTTGGTGAGAATTTTCAAAGTCCCTTTTCCTCAAGGGTCCCCCTCTTCCAGGAAATCATAGAGGTATGTACGTGTGCTCTGTCTGCAGTGAGCTGCTTCCTTGGGTGCGGCACCCTGTGCTAGGCACGGGTTCCCACCATCGGCAGAGGCCTGGCTTGGGTACCACTAAACCACTGTTAAGAACAACTTCTTTAAGAAGCTGAGGTAGGGAGTGGAGGCGAGGGTGGAGGCCGTAGCTGCTTGGGCATCCGTGGCCAGTACCGGGAAAGGGGTGACCAGCCGTAAATGATGGTACACCGGGCCCTGCCCTCCCCAGCCCACCTTGGGCTGAGACCATCGGTCCTGCAGACACAACACGCCTGGCCTGGACATTGCAGACATTTGAGGATGAGGAGGCCTGCATCATAACCATGAGTGGACAGTCAAGGAAAACCAGGCCCGTGAGGAAAAACAGCAATGCGCAATGAATAATAATTACCAGAATCATAATCATTATTGCTAACGTTCATTGAAGGCTGACTATGTGCCAGAAGGTGTTTTCATGATTTTGTGTATGTTATTTTTTTTCTTTTTCTTTTTTTTTCTTTTTAGACTTTATTTATTTATTTCAGAGAGAGAGAGAGAGAGAGCACGCAAACATGAGCAGGGGGACGGGTAGAGGGAGAAGCAAGCTTCCCACTGAGCAAGGAGCTCAATGCGGGGCTCGATCCCAGGACCCCGGGATCATGACCTGAGCTGAAGTCCTGACTTCTATCCCTCTTACAGGACAACAGTTTCATTTTCTGAAATTACTTTCCAGTTTTGGTCCATGGCCAACTTGCTTTTTTATTTTATTTTTTTTTATTTATTTAATTTTTAAAAAGATTTATTTATTTTTTGAGAGAGGGAGCATGCATATGGGAGCGTGCAAGTCGGGGGGTGGTTGCTGAGGCAGAGGGAGAGAGGATCTCAAGCAAATTCCCCACTGAGCACGGAGCCCCACGCAGAGCTCAATCTCATGACCCTGAGACCATGACCTGAGCCAAAACCAAGAGTCGGTCGCTTAACTGACTGAGCCACCCAGGCACCCCCCCAACTTGTTTTTTTGTTATTCTTTATATACAAATGACACCTGCTCATAGAGAAAGCTCCAAGCAATAAAGTACAAAAGCAAAATAAAGAGTTGATATTTAAGACCAGAATGCTACTTGCATCATGTGACCCTATTTACCAGTGTGTCTATTGTTAATGTGTGAGTCACTAAAGTAAAATATTACTCCATGGCACTTGAATGTTTTTGCTAATTATTGAGTAAAGGCAAATAAAGTTCATGTTACAAGGTGGCTAAATACCTGACATACCAAAAACATTTATCAGTACTCAGATTATATGGCTTTTTCTAGAATAAAAAAATAAAGTCCTTTGTACAAGACATTGGAAACAATAAATTCTTCTTGATATTTTCTTTCTGTTCATTAGAGACCCGAGACTACCATCACTAAACCAAAAGCCCTAGATATCTACTGCCTGGCTTATAAGACTTCTGAGGGAATAAGGTAATGCTTTGCTTAGTGTATGAGAGGATATTGTTGTCTTATATAACTCCTGGGGAAAAATTTGTTATTCAGATTTCTGTGAAAGGTTTGAGGCTGAAAAGAATCTGTTGAGAAAGAAGAAAGGTTCATAGTATCTCATCATTTTTTAAAAAGTTTTCATTTATTTGTCAGAGAGGGGGGGAGAGAGAGAGAGAACATAAGCAGGGGGAGCGGCAGGCAGAGGGAGAAGCAGGCTCCCCGCTGAGCAAGGACCCCCCCCCATGCAGGGCTCGATCCCAGGACCCCGAGATCATGACCTGAGCTGAAGGCAGACACTTAACCGACTGAGCCACCCAGGCATCCCATATCTCATCATTTCAAAGCTGAAAGGACTTTGTATACTGTCTAGTTCACCACTTATATTTGGAGATAAAGAAACAGGTCAGAGAGGCAGAGGAGGATGCCAAAAGTCACAGTGAACTGAGACCAGAAGTCACGTGTCTTGATTTGTAGTCTTTGGAGACGTTTATTCCTATTTGTGTCTTGGAAAATAGGGAGAAAGGGGGGAGAAAAGGAGCAGGTAGCTGAAATAAGAGCTTAGGACAGGCCATATTATTTGTTGTTCAGAAAGTAAAGTCTTCTGGAAAGTTCCAGAACTTCTGAATAAAGTGAGGCAGATTTCCAGGATTAGACAAGTGGGTACATAAAACTCTAAGAGATTTCAGAACGTACCATCTTGTCCTTTTAAACCAACATTAGCAGATTTCAAAAGCGCTTCCCATCCCACCCCTGAGGGGTAGTCCTTATTCACACCTGTGAAGAGAGACAGGAGAGAGCATGGGAACTGGCGTCCCCCATCTACCTGTACCCATTTCCAGTGGGGATTGGAGGATCTGCGGGTCCCTGCGGCAGGCCTTGGGCCAGCATTGAAAGATGTTATGCAAGCAGGTGGTAATACTAATGCTTTGGGGGATTTTAGGGATCTCACATCCCTGTGATACCTTGTTGATCTCACTTGTTGAAATCAGCATAGGTTTTAAACAAGTAGAGGGCTGCTCACTAAATTTTAGCCCCACCACGGTTGCTCCCGTGGGGCTCAAGGGCCACATACTTTAAGGGGGTGCTCAAGTCATAGCTGTCCACAACCCTAAGAGCCACTAATGTTTTCACAGGTTACCTTCAAGAGCATCAGACACCCGATTCAAAGGATGGAGTAGCACCCGAGAGACAGACTACTGGCCCGTGAACAGGAGTTTTGAGTGCGGGAACCTAGAAATTCTTCCAGTGGGCTTGAAGCTTGCTATGTTTGGCATCTTTATCATTGTGATCTTTGTCTACGTAACAGTGGAAAGGAAGCCGTTCTTTGGCTAAGTGCTTTAGGAAGTAATGAGAGAGCCCCTGAGTGCTACTCTAAGCCCTCCAGGTGCAGGAAAGAACAGAAAGACTGTTCCGAAGGGGGATGCCCAGCCCCATAGCCACGTCGCTATCCACTATGCTGCTCTCACAAATCCGTACCCAGCTCATAATTTCAAAGCCGATGGGGCCTTACGTGCTGTCTAGTTCACCACTCAAGTTTCAAGATAAGGAAATAGGCCAGGGAGGTAGAGGGCAATGAACAAAAGTCACAATGACCTGAAACCAGCATCCACGGTGGCAGGAACGAGGGAGAGAACGAGGCACTCTTGTCGAAGAGCTTGAGGATAGGGAATTCCCTGAGTCATGCTGGCCATCATTAAAAACGCTGCCACATTTGAGTATACTTCTGAAAAGAAAACCATGCCTGGTGTTTTTTCTTTTGAACTACGGTACTAAGCCCATAGGTCCCACTTGATTCACTCTTCCAATGGTATAGTAACTATGCGAAAGGCCACAACACAACAGGTAAATAACAAAAAAGGCATGTGTCTGGTTCGGCAAACACAGAGCCATATCCAGCATCACCAGTCGTGAAAGGAAAGCAATTTAGAACAAGACAGCATTTTTGCCAGTGAAACTAGCAAGGTTTGAAGAAATTAATGCCCGATGAGGGAATGTTGGCATTGTGGCCTCCGGGAGCAGGCAGAGCTGGGGAGGCGCCTGGCTCCCCTACTTATTGGTTCTGTGACCTTGGGTGAGTTCCTTGTTCTCTGTGCTTCAGTTTCAACTTCTAAAAGTAGGGATAGAATAGACCTCTTAGGGGATGAAGAATTTGAAGAAATAATCCATACAAAGTACTTAGTGTGGTCCACTCCTGATGGGTAGTAAGCCTTCAAGAAATGCTCAAGCAGGGGCGCCTGGGTGGCTCAGTCGTTGGGCGTCTGCCTTCGGCTCGGGTCATGATCCCAGGGTCCTGGGATCGAGCCCCACGTCGGGCTCCCTGCTCGGCCGAAAGCCTGCTTCTCCCTCTCCCACTCCCCTGCTTGTGTTCCCTCTCTTGCTGTGTCTCTCTCTGTCAAATAAATAAATAAAATCTTTAAAAAAAAAAGAAAAAAAAAAAAAAGAAATGCTCAAGCAATGTTACACTTCGGCACAATATTTCTCCTTCCTGGAGGGACTAATTCTAGATACGGAGAAGTCTTCCCGTCCCTCTCTTTTTAAAGTTTTTACTTAAATTCCAGTTAGTTAACATACAGTGTAATATTAGTTTCAGGTGTACAATATAGTGATTCAACACTTCCATACAAGACCCTCTGCTCATCACAACAAGTGCATTCCTTAATCCTCATCACCTGCTCAACCCATCCCCCCACCCACCTCCCCTCTGGTAACCAGCAGTTTGTTCTCTATAGTTAAGAAGGAGAAGTCTTTTTTTTTTTAAGTAAACTCTACATGCAACATGGGGCCCGAACTCACGACCCCGAACTCACGAGTCACTCGCTCTATTGACTGAGCCAGCCAGGTGCCCCAAGAGGAGTCTTAAGTATCAATTAGTTGACTGTAGCAATTTTTATGATAACCAAAATGTAGAACCATCCCAAATATCCAACAATAGGGGAAAAGTTTGATAAATGGACGTATAGCCTCTTGATAGATTATACAACAATTAAAAATACTAGCAATGAATTTATCATAACAGAAAATGCTTATTTATAAAAATTTAATAACAGTTTTATTGAGAGATAATTTACAAGTCATCCAATTCACCTAAAGTGTACAATTTTATGATCTTTAGTATATTCATAGAGTTGTACAGTCATCACCACTATCAACTTTAGAATAGTTTCATCACCCCTAATATGCTGCTTTTTTTTTTTTAAGAAAACTTTACACCCATCGTGGGGCTCAAACTCATGACCCCAAGATCGAGAGTTGCACATCTACTGACTGAGCCGGCCAGCTTCCCCACCCCTAATTTACTTTAATGTTTTTTTTATTTTTTATTTTTTTAACTTACTTTTTTTTTAATGGTACACAAAAGACACGGATTTGTTATTACTGTGTTATCCCAACTGTACACACAACACCAGAAGAAAATACACAAAAATGTTATCAGTACTTCAATGATGGGATTCTCTAATTTTCTTTTCCTATTCCTACTTTTCCACATTTTTAAAGATTTCGTAAGCAGGGTGTATTAATTTGCTAATGAGAGAGAATAAATTTTAATATTTAAAAATGGTAATACTGTATTACAGTTCAACTGTAAGGAACATAACACTCTGGTAAGGGGACTTAGATAAGAATTTATTTTTAATCTCATAAGAAATTTGGAGCTTAAGACATACAACATTGGTAAAAATAACCAAACATATGATTCTGATTCAACTAAATCAACTGTAGAAAAAATTATGATCAAAAAAATCTGAAACTGACTAGCTATTCAGTGACATTAAGAGAGGTTGGGGACCACCTGGCTGGCTCAGACTCTCAGGATCGTGAGTTCGAGCCCCCAACTGGGTGTAGAGATTACTTAAAAAGAGAGAGACAGATGTTAGATCTTATTGAGCAGCAGCAGCTATTCTGTGACCATGAGGTAAAAAGCATATGAGAAAGGCTGAGAGAATCACAAAGACATTGGCCTGCTATCTTTTTTTTTTTTAAAAGATTTTATTTATTTGACAGAGAGAGACACAGCTAGAGAGGGAACACAAGCAGGGGGAGTGGGAGAGGGAGAGGGAGAAGCAGGCTTCCCGCAGAGCAGGGAGCCCGATGCGGGGCTCAATCCCAGGACCCTGGGATCATGACCTGAGCCGAAGGCAGACGCTTAAGGACTGAGCCACCCAGGCGCCCCTGGCCTGCTATCTTTGAACTGCTGAAATTAGTTCTGCAGCTTAGGCCAGTGCATTAGCATTTAAGGCAGAACACAAGGGCTAACCACATCCATATCCGTAAGAACAGTAAGGGAAGGGGGCGCCTTGGTTGAGCGTCTGCCTTCAGCTCGGGTCACAATCCCAGAGTCCTGGGATCAAGCCCCACATCGGGCTCCCTGGCTCATTAGAGAGCCTGCTTCTCCCTCTCCCTCTGCTGCTCCCCCTGCTTGTGCTTTCTCTCCCTCCCTCCCCCCCTTTCTCTCTGTCAAAATAAATAAATAAAATCTTTAAAAAAAAGAACAGTAAGGGAGGCTGGGAGAGTGAGCATTTGAGCTTTAGCAGCCTCTGTATGAGGCAGACAGGGCAGAAGAGGATTGGGTATAAGAATAGGAGGAAGCAACCTACAGTGATGGTCACATGTTCTTAAAAAAGGACACTTCTGTTCTTAATATAATTAAGCATTAAAAAACCCAAATGTCTCCTAGAAAGGCTGCTTCAGTGCTTTCCACTTTTGCCAATAAATTTTTGTAAATTAGAATCCTGGAATCAGTTAAAGAGACTGCACAAAGCACCTGGTTATTGCCTTACCACTCAGGGCGTGAGTCCCCGACCAGCGGCGTTAGCATCTCAGGACCTACCCTCACCTACTAAGCTGGAACCTGCATTTTCACAGGATCCCAGGATTCCCACACATATTAAGGTTTAAAAAGTACTGCTGTGGTCCATCACCATCAGCTGCTTATGTAGGAAGGGTCCTAGCTCAAGCCTCAGCCAGGCTGACCCTAAGAGTTAGGCCAGAGGACCAGGGGGGTAGGTCCATCCGGAATCTATGCACTCTGGGGACTGGTTCCGTCTTTGGGAAAAAATTTGTCTAAAAGGAAGAGACTCGGGCATACAGAACGGGAGAGAAGACATCCATCGGGAGAGCAGCCGTGGGGCACCTCCATGGGCCGCCCAGGGAGAAAAGGAGTGGCCACGGTTGCCCAGGGCAAATAGGGTGGGGAATGAAAGGAAATCGTTAAAACCCCCCAAAATGCACTTGCCCTGTTTTCTGAATATTGATGATGTGACCAAGTATTTCTTGACCCTCTCTTCAAGACTCACCTTCCCCTGGTCATGTGGGGAAAGTGCGTATGGGGAGTGGGACTGACTGTCCTCCCAAGACAGCATCCTCCATAGGAAACTGGCCGCCACCAAGCTGACCTCAGCAGAGGGCTGGAGCAGAAGGCCGCTTCCACCACTGCCCGGTGCCCAAATTCTTCACAGCACTACAACTTGAGCTATATAACAGGCTTTTCTGAAATTTCAGACATAACGAGGAAGCTAAAATGTGGGCAGGAGAGACCTGAGCCTACATGGGTGCTCTTCCCAACAGGGTCATCTACCTGCCCCCCACCCCACCTCCAGCTCCACATGGATCCAGCAGAAGCCACGACACTGAGATTTTCTTACCTTGGGCCACATCAAATTCCCAGGCAGGGCTCCCTCTCCCCCTAGTCTCAGTAGTAGAAAGGGAATCTGTATAGAGATTTATTCTCCTCTTGTCAAGAGCAAACTCCCAGCCATCAGGATGTTGTATTTTTCCAGTCCTAACTACTCGTCTGCCTTCCCCTACAAATCCTGGAGCTGCTTGGGCTGGGGACTGTATCTTAATCATCTCTGGATCTCTTCTCCAAGTGCCGGCTTCACTCTATGCAGAACGAGCCCACTTCCTTTTTAAGCCTTTTCCAACCCAAATAGACATGTGAAACCACAAAACCAATACCCCAGATTTGGCCTCCTTTTCATCCCTGTGAGAAGTTCCTAAAATGAGCAAGCCGCTGCTGCCGAAAGGCATTCCTGATCAACCTCATTATGCAGTGTTTACCCCTGTAACAGGCTGTCATTCCCAGAGCAGCAGAGCGCTCATTCCTGTAAATGTCACTACTTACCTCCAGGGAAGACCTGCCGCCCAGACAGGGGGCTCTATCTCCCCTGATTGCCAAACAGTTCAGCGCTGGAGTGCTGGCTGGCAAAGCCGAATTCAGCTAATTGCATGTCACAGAGGGGCGCTGGGTTTCATGGGCTTGTGTTCTGCACAGAGGGCGAGGAGGCCCATCCTATCACATGTGTGCTGTTAAAATCTCTACCCAGCCAACATCC